CTCACTTTGCCCCATAGCTGCCATTTTGGAAAGAAAAAAAGAAAAAAAAAACTACTGTAGCTTACCAGTTCAGGCTAATATTTAGCTAAATGATTTGCATGGTTTTATATGTTGCTAAATCACCTATGTATCATAAATATTTTTAGACCTGGATAAATTTACTTTGATGTAACAACCATATCATCTGTTATGCTAAAATTTTACTTTAACAAGCCAAAAACAGTTTTTAAAGTAAATGGGTGCCTTCCATTCCCCCCATGTGTTTCTCCTTATCACAGTGTGGCAGAAATGATGGGTGGTTCCAAAAAACATGGTCACATGACAGTAAAAGTGTACAGTTGCCAAGATACAGGGGGCGGGTCAACTACCCACTGGCTCAACTTACCCCACTCTCCCCTACTTTCATTGAAGATGAGGCAGAAGCAAGCTCAGAGAGTGAGGGAGAGAACACTTTTATCAAAACATCTACAATAAAGTCTGAAATTATTACAGAGTGTGCTGTCTTCTCTTTTAATTGTATATTTGTAACAACTGGATATTTGTATTAACAAGCACCCACCCCCCTTGTGCCCCTCTTTTGGTTTTGGGCCACTGCCCCTCAAAATGTTTGTGCACGGCCCTGGCTGCAACCATACCGACAGTGACTGTAGTAAATATTCAAGACGGTGAATTCCATGACACTGGAAATGTAAAGTGTATGGTGGATTTATCACTAAACTAAACTGCTCTGGTTGAAAACAACAACTGGATCTAAAACCTCTGCCTATCCATCTCCATAAGTTAATGGATCTCAAAATGTAAAAAAATTAATTGTGTCCAGTGCAAAGCGATTAAGTTTGATGTGATCACACAACAACTAGTTACCCAGTACATTTCTGTTCTCACACGAAGGCAAGTCTTGAAAATTAAAGGGAATCAGTTCGGTTATAGAATGTAGTTGTCATGTAACTCCATATAGCATTCTAATACAGGAATGACACCTGTATTCTGCTAGTGTGATGAAGACAACCTTACATTCAATGATCATGAGAGAATGTGGATGTTAAATTTCTTAACTGAAACGGTCAAATCTGCTGTCAATCCAGATTTCTTAAGGCTGGCAATGGATTTTACATCTCCCAGTTTCATTTCTCCCATAAACAGTTTCCCTTTCTCTGGTACTGGCTTACTCGGAGGCGTACTGGAACTAAGGTTCTTCACCACTGCAATGACAATCAGAACAAGAACATCATTTGTTATTCTCATCTGTTTCCAGTTATGTTCTGATCAGATTCACATAGGCTGATTACCATTACTCACTGAACTGGAATTAAGTCATCAAGTGAAATTAAGGAAGGACGAGTCAATGGTGACAGCAGTGCCCACAAAATTCTGTCAGGATTGCAGAACATACACTTACAAGAGCAATAGAGGTATTAAACAGCCCCTTAGGGCTTTCTCACCCGAAGTGGCCATGTGGACATTCTGGAAAGCGTTCCCATGTGAGGTAGAAGATGGAGGCGAGGGGGTAGTGGTGGAAGGGGGAGGAGATGGTGAAAGTGTTGAAGGGCGGTAACGGGCTTGAGGGGAATCTTCTGTCTCAGGATGCTGGTGGGATTGAAATTAAATGGAAAGTCAGCCATTTGAAAATGGACACTTACCACAGCCAGTTATAATCCTTTAAAGCACACTTTTCTGTCATAATATTTCTATTCCAAAGTCCCCATGAAGGGAACATTTTAAAGCATAATTTGAGCCACATTCTAAAGCCCAAAGTATACTTCAGTTTTGATGCGATTGCAAGCATATGTGTACATCTGGACGTGTAGCCATTCAAAGTATACTTTATGTGACAGAGTGTGCAAAAACAGGCACTCGACACATACTCAACTAGAAAGTTTAATCCTTTTCCAGTGTCTGCTCCATAAGTTATGACAGATAAATGTTTTTTTTACTCAATTCAACTAGAGCTGCAGGTATCTCTTAAAGGAATAGTTCACCTCAAAAATGAAAATTCTGTCAACATTTACTCACCCTCATGTTGTTCCAAACCTGTATAAGTTTCTTCTTATATTGAACATAAAAGAAGATATTTTGAAGAATGCTGGTAATCAAACAGTTGTTGGTCCCCATTGACTTCCATAGCATTCCTTTCCCTATTATGGAAGTCAATGGGGACCAACAAACTGTTTCTGATTACCAGCATTCTTCAAAATATCTTCTTAAAATTTATTTTTGAGGCGAACAATTCCGTTAATCCCCTCACACAAGTGCTCGTCAATGCGGCCATCTTATTGCGGTCTCCTGTAGTTTGTTGTCGTTTTGCTTCATTTGTTTGTTTTCAACTGTGAAACAGCAGGCCAAAACAGTGTTGCTGCCTAGTGGACAAACTAATTGGTGCAAAAAAATTTCAAAAATTCAAATGCATGTTCGAGCTAAGCATACAGTGAGCAGTTAGAAAAGTCTGTCACATAACCTATACCTATTTCACATACCCTAGCGTACGCGTAAAAACACCTGTTAAATTATATTTTGGGCTTTAGTCAGTATTTACATGCATGCTCAGTGGAAAAAAGTGGACAAAATGAGACAAATAATAATTACAGTATAAAGCTAAAAATCCATTCAATAACAAAATGTATCAATAAAGTGTGTTTTTTACTAGTTAGAGTGTCGCATAGTTAGCTTAGCAACATGCTAACAACAAACTATGCTAACATGGAGCTGTTTCCATAGCGTTCGAAATCAGTTCTATGAAGTGCTACGTGGTTAGGATGCTGCCTTAGAAGACAGCTACCTATGTAGGAATTAAGCAGAGAAACAGGTCACTAAATTGACCCTTTGCAGGGAGTTTGATTGACAGGCAATCTGACCAATAATAATGCAGAATCTGCCATTTTTGTCTGACAAACAAACCAGACAGGATTAGTCAGTGGACTTGAACTTGAAAAATGGTGTGTATTGACGTCTTTCCACAGTTGAAACAAGACCTTCTGATGTTCATTAATGTTTATTTCAAGCTATAACTAGTAAAGAGGCAGATGATCGCTTCACGTGCCACTTGAACTGAGGTACTACAGGGATCTGTCACGACAAATTAAAGAGCCACAAAATGGTATTCATTGTTTGAATTTCTTAAAAAATGAGCATATTTGTAAGCTGAGACTTTGTTTCATACCAAAAGTAACCTGCTCTGTTTTGTCTGTCGGCGTGTAATCAGTTTTCTCTTTGCTCCACGATGTATTTTTCACTGCGTGAGAACATGATGTGTGGCTTGTCGGACAGCAACAGTAACGAAGGGGGGCGGGTCTTTGCGAAGGGTCAATTGTGGAACAGATGTAATGGTATATGCTTTGTCATTCATACAGTATTATTTTTCAAAAACTTATAAAACTCACCTTAAGACTGTCCATGGCTTTGTGTGTAGTGATCTGTCTGTAATAATCGGAGCTGGGTTGCCGTGACACAGCCGATTTCTCTCTGAGCTCTTCCTCTATAGGACAGTTCTCTTCCAGAGGTTGGGCAGCTGGACAGAGCTGCAATACAAAGCTTTTATTATCATATAATATATACAGCTTTTATTATCATATAATATTTACTGATTCAGGTAGTGCGCCATCAAAGCACATAATTTTACACAGACTTGTAAGGCAATGGAATAACAGGCCAATTATTGCCATTTGATCCACTACACAGCAGAACATCACAAACATACACATGAAAAACAGCTATTTGTGGTCTTTCTTTTGTGCAGTGTTGTGGTCTGCACAGCGATATGTGAGCATTACAGTAAGAGGGGCCCTAGCTGGGGGGCAAAATAGTTGTACCTGAGCCCAACATCTAGATCCCACTTTACCAGAGGGAAAATGCCGAGTATATGGAAACATTTAGTTCACCACTGATGAAACTGTAATATCCTAATGGACTCCATGCAGAATGCATATCAAATGTGGCTCTCAAAGGGCTCTCTGTAAAACACACACACGCACAGAGCATCAAAGGGAACACTGATACGCCGCAGCATGCTATTTTGCTTTGTCTCTGTGAGGTGGTCCTCCCAATTTCCTCTTGCACTGCACTTTGATGTCCAAACAGCACGAAATGCGCTGTGACACGGCTTGGGCAAAGGCAGGAATAAATTTCCCAGAAGTTGTGCAATTCATAAATAGATACAATTTGGGAGGGGTAATGTGGGTATGTAGGGCAAAACTACATTAGCAAAGTGGAATCTCTTTCCTTCCTGACCTCTGAGCAACAGTTCAGTTCCTCACTCACGATCAGGATGCATCTGTCTCTGCGTGAAGGTTTAATCAAAGCCAGTGAACACCATGGCACATTTGGTTTTCATCAGCTATCCTCTTCTGTGGCTTAGGCAGTGGATGCTGGAGTAACATGGTCCTCCCATCCTCTCCTATGCCTCGTGGGCCACACAAACACTGATGGGGAGAGTTAGACTACAGCAATAGCATCAAATCCATAAGTCCTATATGGTAATATGGTGGAAACCTGGTGCATAGCAATTTAGAGTCTTTCTTTTTCACCAGTTACTTAGAGGGGGGAAAATTCACATATAAAATCACTCAAATATGCCAGACTTTCATCTTGAAAACCAGAATCAGAATGAAGTTAGCAGAACAACACCGAAGAGTTGAAACAGACAGAGGCCGTGGGATATTTCTCAATGTTCTGTTTTAGTACATTCAATAAAATTATTTTGGGGTGGAAAAACAACCAGAAATGGTAGAAATATGAAGGCCTGCACCGTTTGAGTAAGGTTAAAACCTCCTCATCTCTCTGCTTTGTGGAGGAATTCAAGACCACACACTTGTGTTGAAACATAAGCAATGCGTTCTATGTTAAATCACTTTTACACCTTTGGTTAAAACACATGATGAACATGTTTGACAGTTTTTAAATTTAGAGAATTGAGTGAAAACAGTCCAAAGTGTCTACAGCAGCAAATCATCTGTACTGGAAAGTTTATGTTAAAATGGAGAAAGGAAGATGAACGAGCTGAAGATGGCATTCTTTCTATGTTAACTGTTTTACATTTTAAAAAAATGGATAGATTCTATATTACAAATAGAAACTGAATTATGCAAGTAAGCTCAGGTAAACTTCTACCCTATTAAGCTCTTGTGTTTTGCAGATTAAACAGAAAAGAAGAAAAGCTACAATACCAAATACATGTCCAATGAATCATAATACTAGTATATACTGGATTTTTGATTGTGCGTGCTCATTTCCCTTTGCCATCATTTAACGCCCACTTATATAAATATAAATTTTTCATACTGTATATTACATTTTTGTGATACTTAAATTCAGTTTTAGCATTTAAAATGTTTGAGGTTAATTTCTACCGTTTTGTTTTTAAAGTATTTAGACAAAGTATCATAAAATTTGTCTATGGAATACAGAATTTTAATATATTCAACCAATTGGATATAAATAATAAATTCTAATTCTTTAGTTTAGAAGCCCTTGACTGTGAACTTTCAAAGGCACAATATAGATACTACAATATATTATACAGATAGACTATGTAAAAACCTTCAATAATCACACTATGAAAAGATACCAACAATGCATTAGCTCTACAAACACAATATGTATTTAAAGCATAATAGGTACTTACAAACTACCGTCCTCTTAATTATAGTCGATATCCACACAGGCAGCGCCTGATCACTCTGTGTCACTAGATAGTGACACACGATGTGAACACCAAACCCAGAGATGTGTTGACTCCATCCACACCATCCCAACAACTGGCCATAGCCCAACAGACAATAAACAATAAACTCTGATAGGAGAATGTGCTTAATAATTTACACAGTGGATTGGGTAGCCGGCAATGTCACTAATGAACAAACCAATTGGCACATGCGAACAAGCGAGCAGTGTGATAGAAAGCAGGAGACTGTCAAATCAGAAGAAGCGGACACTGTATCTCATTCATTCACTTGTTGTTGTTGTTGTTGTTTTTTGATCTCTGAAACCACATTAGACTGGGGACGTGACCTTACACACATCAACACTAATCAATATATATAGTAAAAATAAAAAAAAGTTTCTTAGCCTGAAAGATGGGGCATTGCATGAGCAGAACCTTTCCATTATTTGTTTAATAATGTATGCCCTGGAAAAATAGGTGACAATACAATTAGGTCAGTTAATTTATTCTCTCCAGCATCAAAAAGATGACACCTGCAGACACTCATGTGTGAAGGTCAATAAGTCAGATAATTTGAGCATTTTATGAAAAGGCAAGGTTAGTAAAGGTTGTAATTGGTATTTAACAATTTCTAAATGAATTAATAATTCATAATCTAAAAAATACTCTGAAAACCAAATGAAACCAGTTTGAATACAAAGATTTCTTCCACATGTGTTTTAAACTAGATTTAAAATATATATATTTTTTTTATTCTTTTATTTATTATGGACACTGTTATATACCATTGACCCAGGTACTTTCTGGAAATCTCAATGATGAAATTAAAATAGACAAGCACTCTTGTGAAATACAATGTATAAATGCTTACAGTAAAACAATGGTATTTAGTAGAAAGAAATAATGTGTCAGGTTCAGATTTTGTTGTTGACATCAAAGGTTGTGAGTCCAAATGAAATCTGTGCAATTTTGGTGCCAATTCATTTGTCAGTTGGTAAAAGCTAGTCAAATTCATGGACATGCCCTACATCTGAATATGCATACTTCTCTAGAGGCAAGTCAAATAAGTAGAATGCCCAAAATACTCATGATACAGTAGGTGAACAACACCCAGATGACCCGCTGCATCTGCTGTGATTCTGAAGTGTGAAACCAGTTGACATTTGTCTATCCCATAAGGCCAGATGAGCTGAGAAAGCATCAGATTCAAATCTAGACACCTCATTTGACAGTTTAACTGCAACAGGTACCAAGAAAGTTATTACGTCATAAGTCAAGGACCACTGGTCATAAAAAAACAATGTAGGATATAGTATTTTTCAGAATGTGTTCATACTGTACATGTTCATTATAGCCGAGAAGTATGATTAATCAAATTCAGAGCATATGAAAGTACAAGAATTCAGAAACAGCAATGCCTTTCACTTCACTTGCTTCACGTCATTGATCAGTGTACAATCAAAAAGCAAAATGACTTCAAGACAACTGCCTTAGAACATGAAAAAAGGAAGATTGCATACAGCAAACCCTGAATCTGCAGGTGCACATAAAGCATATACAAAACATTTGTTTGGTGTGCCATTGTACATTCTCAATTACATGGTAAACACTGTTCCATGTGTAGCGGACCACTAAAGGTCAAAGCAATCAGAGCATTCTTGAGATATGACTGAACGTTTGATGAGAAACACGTTGAAAGATTCCTCTCAGGGGGTAAACTCGTAAAAAAGCTCCCTTACCACCCCCTAGTGGCCGATTAGCACTGGCATTTCTATAAAGGCCCCATGCTGAACCAAACTCTCCAAGCATTTTTATAATGCTTGAAAGTACCTGCAATAAACAAACCACAGAGCTTCACTGTACATCGCACTAGGAACATTTCCCAATCTAGCGCAATTTTTGTTGTTGTTGTACTGAAATAAACCTACTTTGGGTAGCCAAAAGAGACGCATTTAATACAGCTGGCCTCTTAATTCCCTGCCTGAATAAGATGGGAGGAAAGCATATATGCGTGTTGTAAAATAAACCCTTGATCTGTTTATTTGATTGCAGCTGTCTCAGGGAGAAGGCACTCACACTTTGAGTGGAGGGCCGTGCTCAGGGAGGGTGACCTCTTTGGGATGAAACCAAAACATGAGGAAATACCAAGCACGCAAGTCTCTGGCCAAACGCCCAAACAATCCATTACAGGCACCGTTAGGAAATGGGATGGCCTGTCCCGAGCACTCTGAGGTGGAATAAAACCTTGTGAAGTACACTACAACTTGCAATACTATAAGTGGACCAGGAGGCAAACTAAAATGCTTTATTCCTGAAATAATGATGATATGGACCATACAGAGTCTTTCCAGTGGAAGGTCTGGGAAACTATTTTGGGTCAATGAAATATAAGGGAGTGTCCATGATAAAAAATAGAAAAAGTCTAGTGCCAAGTTCTTTTGTGATACACATATTTTCAAAAAAATCTTATTAAATATACTTTTCATTGTAAAAGCCTAATATTTAATTCAGAAATATCATGTGTTGTTCAGGAGGTACATCACATGACATTTTACAACCTGAACTAACCTTGCATTGTCATAAAAAGGTCAAATTATTTGGTATACTAAGATTTTCTTATGATTTTTTTAATGTTTATTTTTTTATGATTTTTTTCTTTTAATATGACATCAGGACAGTTGTACCTTCCTGACATTTTGACTTTATGTCCCCCTAGTTTTTATTTATTTATTTTTTAAAGTTCTATACACTATTGTTTGAAAGTTTGGGGTTGGTATGATTTTTAAGGAAGTCTGCATTTATTTGATCAAAAATATAGCAAAAACAATAATACTGTGAAATGTTATTACGATTTAAAATAACTGTTTTCTGTTTTAACGTGTAATTTGTTCTCGGGATGGCAAAGCTGAATTTTCAGCAGCCAATAGAGTCACATAATTCTCCAGAAATAATTATAATATGCTGATTTGGTGCTTATTATAAATGCTGAAAACAGTTGTGCAGCTTAATATTTTTGTTGAAACTGCAAAATATTTTTCTTGTATTCTTTGATAATTCGCATCTTACTGACCCCAAGCTTTTCAGATGCAGTGTTTATCAAGTTAGACTGTACATAAGTCAGCAAAAACAATGTCTTACAATATGTATTTATCCAAGGCAGTACTGCTTGATCAGATGTGTTACAATGGAATTAGGGTTAAAGGAAAAAAGATAAACAATCAGATGCATGTTTGAAGCCAACAAACATCCTGTTCTCCAACCGATTTGATAGATCAAGTATCGGTTTCCAAGCATTAGAATGGTAAAACCCCTGAAACCAAACCCTGTGGATCCCATAACCAGCTCAGCCCCCGGCCCTCTACCTGAGCTAGGCTGCTGGTGAGAAGGTAACCGATACACCCCCAGCACGTAGAGAGACTGCGAACGGCTGCATCTGATGCTTCAACAGCCTCCCTTCACTAATTAGATCTCTATTGTTGGGGCAGGTCGGCTTAATTTTTGATATCTAGCAGCACCCTGAGTCTCTCACATTGATATAGGAGCAATGAATAGCTGATTTATTCATGCCTATGTTGACAGGGAGCTTATATTACTACATTAGATCTATGGAAAAGTGTGACCAGGGTGACTGGAGGCCATGTAATTAATTCTGTGAAATCTCAGATATGGTACTTCAAATTTAATGAAACTTAATTTAATTCTTAATTGGCTTCAACTGGTTTTTAACCTGTTGACATAGCAAAAATGTGTTTTTAAGTCCTAGATCTGGCTTTATTTGTTTTATACCTGGAACATTTCAGATTTATCATCAAGAACTTGCTTTATGGTTCCAGTCCAACTTGGAAAAGTGGAAAAACTTTTTTAAATTATCTGACAAAATGAAAAAGTATTTGCAGGTTCAACCATGAAAATCAGCTTGTATTGTCATAAGTTTGTCAGTATGCTTACAATTCAACAGCTGAGTAACCAATATAATCCATAGAGGTTTGCATAACATAAATTTATGGCCTGTACCTTATACAACATGTTTATTTAACAGAAATTAATATTCAGCTCCTCTACAATTTGTTCATATGGATTTTAGCTCACACATTCAGTATTAGCTTGTTAAACGTGTTTTATCAGCTAAGCAAGGTATGTTGGAAGGAATCCAAGACAAAAAAAAAATCTACACTTCTTGAATGGGAACAGCAAAAACAGCTGCTATATCTACCGCCTATTAACGCAGATGGACATCTTCAAAAAAGAAAAGAAAGAATGCACAGTTGTGAGATATAGTAAATCACTACAACAGCAGTATCTCATGTAGACTGATCCATCAATTTTGTGCTCTAAATGTGGAATGAATTCCTTTTCCAATGTGGTTCAGTTGTTGTGCCCGCCCTGACAGCACTGACAGCACTATCATGTTCACCCTTGAAAAATGTATGACTTAAATTGAGCAGCATCTTATTTACCACAAGAAACAAGAAGGCTGAGAGGCCATTGAGGTCCACTGGACACAAAAGCTTCTTTGAAAGTAGGTGCTATGTGACACCTTGAAAGTTACTGGCCTGATTTTCATAGACGCTCAGACATGTCAGGCAAAACAAGGAAGATCTGGATACAGGACAACTAAGAGAACTGACTTTTTGAGGCAAGAAATGTATTTGGACGAGAGCTTTCCTTTCTGAGTTTGTCTGTGTGACACTTCACTGCAAGGTCTTTAACCCTCTGATGCATGATGTCAACAACAGACCATTTTTAAACATTCATGGTATGATGTTACAGCCTTTGACCCTTTCTCATAATTATACATGTCTGTCCATTTTTTTTATTTATAACAACATATAACAGTATAATTCAATATGACTGACAAAAATGGTCAAAATAACATGCACCTCATGATATTTTTCAGTAGTACAGAATCTAAGGAATCTTTAATTCTGCAATTATTCATGTATTTTTATATAGTTTACTTAAAGTAAATGAAAATACATCCACTCTAATCTTAACATACTTTCCAGAAGGCCAACAATTCACTAAAAATGTTTTTTTATTGGTCTTATGAAGTGTTCTAATTTGTTGAGATGCTTGGATACAGCTTGGATACAGCACTCTGTGAACAGCCAGCTTCTTTGGCAATGAATGTTTGTGGCTTACCCTCCTTGTGAAGGGTGTCAATGATTGTCTTCTGGACAACTGTCAGATCAGCAGTCTTCCCCATGATTGTGTAGCCTAGTGAACCAAACTGAGAGACCATTTTGAAGGCTCAGGAAACCTTTGCAGGTGTTTTGAGTTGATTAGCTGATTGGCATGTCACCATATTCTAATTTGTTGAGATTGGTGGGTTTTTGTTAAATGTGAGCCAAAATCATCACAATTAAAAGAACCAAAGACTTAAACTACTTCAGTCTGTGTGCATTGAATTTATTTAATACACGAGTTTCACAATTTGAGTTGAATTACTGAAATAAATGAACTTTTCCACGACCTTCTAATTTATTGAGATGCACCTGTATATTTGTTTTCACTTCCATTAATTTTTGAATATTTACATTTAAAATAAAATGATAATGCTGTGGGTTAAAGGTTTAAAAAAGGTTTAAAATTATTTATGATTATTTTTAAAAAAATGTATTGACTTATATTACTTTACACCTTACATGCATGGTGGCAGATCTCCAACTCACTTAAAATACATTTTAAAAAATTATTAAACAAAATAAATTCATAATTATTTTATTAAATTAATAGAATAAATAAAATTCATATAAATAAATAAATAAATAAACAAACAAATGTTTAATTACTATATTCTTGTTTTGAAGTAAAAATTAAATATTAGGATAAATAAAAGTAAATAGCGTCCTTTGTCATTTAATAATTAATGCAACAGAGGGTTAACCCTCCTGCATTTGACCATTATCTTTTAAGTCGATTCTAATAGCTTCAGTAGACTTTCAGTTCAAAAATAATTTTTCATAATTCATTTATGTCATGTCACTACTTTCAATATTTCAATATAATCAAGATAGGGCAGCATGAAATTTCAAATAATGCCAGTGTTTCATTTGTGCACCTTGCGGCTTTAGAAAGACAGTTGAAACAATGACCACTAACTTAAATGATCAACAAACTGATGTTATTTCGCTTCTGCCAGCATAAGTAATGAACCTTACATTTCTCTCCACAGAGCGAAGGTATCTGGCACACTCAAAGTGGCCGTTGTATTCAGCCAGATCAGCAGCCGTGAACCCATCTACATCTCTTTCCTTTGGGTTGATCTGGTGACCCATCAGGATTCGACAGCACTGGGAAATAGTTTTTTATATGATTATTATGACTTAAAAGCATAATTAAAATCATTTATGTTGTAGACACCACACAACAGACTCACATCCTAATTTGAACCCACCTCTATCTCCCCATTCTCTGCTGCATCATGTAGAGGTGTGCCACCCCAGTAATCCTTCTTGACCTTCGATCCCATCTGTAACAACCTCTCCAAGATGCCATGATGCCCCCCACTGGCAGCAAAGTGTAAAGCAGTCGCCCCTTCATTATCTTGACTAGACAGGCTGACGTCTGTGAAGGACACCTGAAGTAGTCCAAGCAAGTATTGTACCTATAGTAGAGCTCATGACACCAAAGCATATACTTGTAGAAGTAAATGTATAACCCACCAGCCAAACCACCAATGTATGGTGGCCCATGTGAGCTGCAGCATGCAGTGGCGTCATACCATCTTGGGCTCTTAGATGCACGTCAGCTCCACAGTCTTTCAGCAGATACTTCACAGCATATAGATGTCCCTCCTGGCAGGCCAGATACAGTGGCGTGGCACCCATATTTGTCTGTCGATTAACACACCTGAGAAAACGTCAATTTGGATTTTTATTCAAGTGAGTTTTTAAAGGCTAATGAAAAATTTTCAACTTAAAAGAAATATTTGAGTAAAATCCTTCTTCCGCTATTGGTATTCCCATGTCCTTATCTATGGAAGACATACATTCCCCCTTCATTGAAGTTGCGCTAAAGGATTCAAACATGTGCTAAAAGCATAACAATATGTAAGGTCTGGTAAATCAACTATTTTAATGAAAAGATTCTTTTGAAGCAGGGTGAAGCCAGTTCGAGCATAATGAGTGATTTATAAGCAATTTTTTGAGGGAGTGCCTTTTTTGCTCTGTAACCTCGTAGGTGTAACAAGGTGAAAAATCTCCCCCAGAAAAGTATGAAAATGATCAAACATTTTTTTTAGAAGTAGTTATACCCTTTGTGAACAAAGTCACAAAATTTCAGTCCAATGCGATAACATTAACTAGTATTTTCGGGAAAAAGAAAAAATTTTCAGCGCAAAAAGGACCCGAACACCACATGAGGGTTAAAGTTCATGGGATCGTATGGAGCTGTTCAGTTATGGCATCAATTTGTAGCCAGCTCAGAAAGGGGAATTTGCTATAGGTTCCCTATAGTTTTATAGTTTCAGTGGGTTTTTAAGAATAGCAGTTTGTTTTTGATTTTTTACTTAAAAAAGAATTTAACAACATTCACTGCCATTCAAAAGTTTGGAGTTGGTAAGGTTTTGTATTTGATCAAAAATACAGTAAAAGCAGCAACATTGTGAAGTATTATAGTAAGTACTACTTTATTTTAAGGTCCGATTCACTATTAACAAACCATTAACTATGACTTTTGTCTCAATAAACTCCTAATTTGCTGCTTATTAATAGTTAGTTAAGGGTAATAGGGTAGTTAAGTTTAGGTATTGGGTAGGATTAGGGATGTAGGATATGGTCATGTAGAATAAATGCTTTATAAGTACTAATAAACAGCCAATACATTAATAATAGGCATGCTAATAAGCAACTAGTTAGTAGTGAGAATTAGTCCATATACTAAAGTGTTACCGATATTTTTTTTTTTTTCATATATATTTAAAGTGTAATTTATTCCTGTTATGGCAAAGCTGAATTTTCAACAGCCAATACTACAGTCTTCAGTGTCACATAATCCTTCAGAAATCATTCTAATATGTGACCCTGGAGCACAAAAGCAGTCTTAAGTCGCTGGGGTATATTTGCAGCAATAGCCAAAAAAAAAAACAATGTATGGGTCAAAATTATCGATTTTTCTTTTATGCCAAAAATCATTAGGATATTAAGTAAAGATCATGTTCCATGAAGATATTTTGTAAATTTCCTACCATAAATGTATCAAAACTTAATTTTTAAATAGGCAATATGCATTGCTAAGAACTTCATTTGGACAACTTTAAAGGCGATTTTCTCAGTATTTTGATTTTTTTGCACCCTCAGATTACAGATTTTTAAATAGTGTATCTCAGTCAAATATTGTCCTATCCTAACAAACCATACATCAATGGAAAGCTTATTTATTCAGCTTTCAGATGATGTATCAATTTAAAAACAATTAACCTTTATGACTGGTTTTGTGGTCCAGGGTCACATATGCTTAACATTTTGCCTAAAATTTTTTTATTATCATCAACGTAGAAAACAGTTATGCTGCTTTATATTTTTATGGAAACCATGATACTTTTTGGATTCATTTTTTAAAAAATTTATATATTTTGTAACTATGGCTGCAAAACTATTAATCGCGATTAAACGATTCAAAATAAAAGTTAATGTTTACATACTATATGTTTGTGTACTGTGTATATTTATTATGTATATATAAATGCACACATATATGTATACATTTGAAAAACACTTGTATGTAAACACTTGTATGTAATTTATATTATATATAAATATAAATATTTTATATATAAATGTAACATATTTTTCCATAATAAATATACACAGTACACACACATAAAGTATGTAAACATAAACTTTTATTTCGAATCGATTAAGCGCGATTAATCGTTTTGCAGCCCTATTTGTAACATTATAAATCTCTTTACTGTCACTTTTGATCAATTTAATGTTTCCTTGCTAGATGAAAGTATCAGTGTTTTTTAAAGGGGTCATATGATGCTTTTTTAAAGATCATTATTTGGTGTATTTGGTGTAACAGAATATGTTGCCATGCTTTAATGTTCAAAAAACACATTATTTTTCAAATACTGTACATTATTGTAGGTCCTATATGCCCCGCCTCTCTCAAACGCTTCGTTTTCTACGTAGATATGTGGGGTGTGTTAGAACGAGCCGTTTTAGGGGGGCGTGGCAGAGTCTTAACTTTGATAAAGAATATCTCTTTGGTTTTGAGACTTTAGTCTTTGCAACTTCAGGGATCTTATCTATGCACAATCAGCTTGTAACACTCCAAAGAGAAAGGAAAACTTGAAATCGCATCATATGACCCCTTTAAACTCATAACCCGTAAATGGAGTTGTAAATTTTAAACTGTCATACCTAATATATGATTTTGAAAGCAGCTGTTTAAACAACATTTAAAGTTTAAGTTCCCTCCTGACTCGACTCTGCAGTCACTCAAAAAACAAACACCTGGTTGTACCATCGCAGCGTGCTACAAGGTCACTTTTAAAACCTTCACACACCCCTTAGCAGTGGAACAAACTCTTAACCTTCACCAAAACAGCAGAAACCCTAAGGTCTTCAGAAAACTACTGATAATTTTAACGCCCTGGCAGTAAGTCTGTTATTCCAAAAGCCCTTTTTCAATCACAATGGTTGTGGAACCCAGCGGCGATCTCTTGAGGTGTTAAGGATTCAGGACTTTTCTAACCCCTGAAGTTAATATATGCATTCCCCTGGCTATAAGTTAAGTTTAACTTATCCAATACACAAACACACTTCTATTTCATCCTGAGCATGCCTCCGTGTATCAGTTTCAGATGTGGTCATGCTACAGATGCAACATGAATCTGTACATGCGTGAGAGAAACAGGATGCAGGATTGACAGACTTACACAAAACAACTGATAATCAACTTTGTGGTCTGAAGTGAATTAGTTTGATGGGGTTCATTAGATCAGCTCAATTCCTCTTCCTCCATCCCTTTTCATTACATGGAAAAGCTGTGCTAGTAACTGAGCAAACTCAGGAAAATTAAGTTTGAATAAAAAATTCTAAATACCCATTTCTGTTCTTAGAGCAGCTATTGCCTTCAAACCTGTATCTAGCAAAATGGGGAAGCACATTTGCTTTGGTGTCAGGGGTGCATTATGTGCGGTCTCATTCTGGTGAGTAGATCTGAGAGTAGATTCTGGTGAGTGCCACACTTTCATGGCACATGTTCACTTTCCGTTACACCACCAAAGCAGAGCATGTGTTACGGACATTTCTGAGGACATGGATAAATAACATGATTAGGCTACTTTGCCATTGTTGTTTTCTTTTCTTTTCTCTTTTTTAATGTCTTGTGGTTTTACCAAAAGCTACACTGGGTCAGTACAAGGGGGAATAACAAATTATAACCTTCACAAAAAAATTCTTAAGGATAACTTAGTCTCCAATTAATGATAACATAAATAAAGATGTTATAATAATACAAAACTTTATATTATATAGAATAATTATGATACATATACAACCCCAATTTCAGAGAAGTTGGGACGTTTTGTAAAATGCAATAAAATCAAGAATCTGTGATTTGTTAATTCTCTTTAACTTGTAACTAACTGACAAAAGTACAAAGAAAAGATTTCCAAAGTTTTCACTGACCAACGTAAATGTATTTTGTAAATATTAACAAATTCTGTTTTTGACGGCTACAACACATTCCAAAAAAGTTGGGACAGAGGCAAAATAAAAGTGAAAAGGTTATAGAATATCCACGTTAAACTGTTTTGAAACAGTTCAGAGTAAGCAGGTGAACTGGTAATATGTCAGGGAATCATGTTTGGGTATAAAAGGAGCATCTCAGTCTTTGCAAGCATAGCTGGATCAAGGCTCATCACTTTGTGACAAATTTCATGAGAGAAGTGTCAAACAAATCAAAAATCACATTTCGCTATGCAAAGTTGCAAAGAATTTAGGTCTTTCACCAAGTACCATATATAATACCGTGAAAAGATTCAGGGAATCCAGAGAAATCACAGTACATGTAGGGCAAGGCAGGAAACCTCAGTTGAATGTGCTTGACCTTTTAGCCCTCAGATGGCATTGCATAAGAAACCGTCATGCTGTGGTGTTAAATATAGCCACATGGGCTCAGGAGTATTTAAGAAAACTGCTGTCATTTAACACAGTCTGCTGCTGCATTAAGAAATGCAACTTGAATATCTGTTACTCTAGGAGAAAGCTATACATCAATTCTATGCAGTGATGCTGCCGTGGTTCTCTGGGCCAGAGCTCATCTCAGATAGTCAAAAAGACAGTGAAAATGTGTGCTGTGCTCAGATGAGTCCACATTTCAACTTGTTTCCGGGAAAAATGGATTTCAAGCTCTCGGTCTCAAAGACCAAAGGGACCATCCAGAGTTTCATCAGCGACAGAAGCAAAAGCAAACATCTGTCATGGTATGGAGGTGCAGCAGAGCAAAGAGCATAGGTGT